CTAAGTAATTTATGCAGGCAAAAGAAAAAATGTCCCAGGTGAACTCCTTCAGTTTTCTCAGTTTATTTCTCCTCAGGCAAACAAACAGAAAAGACTATCTATTGGTGTTGATATTTGTACATGTTCCTAACAGATATGTGGCTGCTGCCTCTATTAACACCATCTGCTCAAAGTGAATACAGACCTCATACTCATCCTCCTCCATGTCCCATTCATTTATCAGCACACCCACATCTCATTCAGTTTAATTATTACAATTATTATAAAATAGATGACTTTGATCTTCTTCTATTGCTCTTGAGTCTCCACATCTTTATCAGTTTAAATGCTGTTAAATTCCTCTGTCTTTTCTAACACATTTATCCAGCACCTTTGAAAGATCAAGGTTTCAATTTCAGTTCTTTTGTGACTTTTGCAGCCATCAAGCAGAAATCTTGTTACAAAATAACATATCTGAAAACATGGAAAAATATCCATCATCATACTTTCCAATTTCTGCTTCTGGCTCTGGACTAAAACTTAAAGTGGAAGAAAACATTTTGACAAGAGACTTTATCTGAAAGCAAAAGACCTCAGTTTATCAGAGAGGAAAACTTAGATCTTCTATTATTATTATTTATTTATTTTTTATTGAGATACAACCATTTCCTTATATTAAGTCAGCTGCCTGATGTGAATTTGGCTCCTCTCCTGCTGGGAAGCATCCTGCCAGCTCATTGGTCAGTCTGTGCATCTGTCCTTAAACATTTACTCCATGCTTCTCTGTTTATAAATATAATTCACCCAAATTAATCATAACTAACCAGAAACAAAGGGACATGACCAAATAACCTAAAAACATAATCCCATAACAGATATCAAACAATAAAGCAGAATAAACTTAGCTAAATTATCCACAAAAACAAAAAAACTTTGTTAATTATTAACAAAAAATAATATGCTCCTACAATATGGTCAACTCAATTCAGTATAATTTATAGTTAGTTCATCGGATAAGATACAATAAATACTCAAGTCTAAAAAATAGTGATTAAAAAGCGAATTCCCTTTAACACAAATGTAAGATGGTAAAACATTATGACCATTAAAGACTCACAAGTTTATCTCTTCCTCTGTATGACTCCAGCAGTTGGACAAGAGACTCCACAGACTGCTGCATGTCCGATCATCCACACTAACAATAAATTAATTAATAAAACTCAGATCAATGGCCTCTAACTGTCTAACCTCCTTCAGAACATTTTAGCTCCAACTGCACATTAATGTCGCTGTCTGCACCCAGAGTGAAGCAACATTCAGAAGGACTTTGAATCGGGAAATACTTCAAACAGACCAGAGCAAACGATCTCCGATCCGCCAATCTTCTTCTTCTTCTTCTTTCTTTATATTCTTTTCTTCTTCTTTTCTATTATGGCGGATCGCAAGCAACTTTCAGGTGCACACCGCCACCTACTGTATATGAGTGTGTAGCAACATTACTTTACATCGAATTAGATTTTTTTAATTTTGTATTATGTAGATAAATAAATAATACTTTCCTTAATCTGTGAAAATTCTTTATGTTTCCTTAATTTCCCAGTATTCCCTTAAGACTCTATTCTTGGCCTGTCCTTTCAACCATCCTTCTCAATTTCTCCCTTTCATGTTCATAAATTTTACAGGTTGTCAGTACGTGTTCTATATTTTTCTTTGTTAGATTGGCGGATTGCAAACAACTCATAGCTGCATACCGCCACCTACTGTACATGAGTGTGCAGCTCTATAGTTCTACCCACTATATTCTGTTTTTTATTTTTGTGTTATGTAAAAGTGAAAAAAATGCTTTATTAATAACCAGATTTTCCTCCCTATCTCCATCTGTCTCAAAAATTCCTTTAATACTCCATTATCTCCCTATTTCCATAATTACTTTCCTCATCTTCTCTCTTTCAGTTGTATATTTAATGCAATCCATCAAAACATGATCCACATTTTCTTTTCTTTCACAGCCCTCACATATATCATCATTTCTCTTCCCTAATACAAACAAAAACTCATTCTAGCAGGTATGTCCAGTTCTTAATCTAGTATAAATGATCTCTTCCCTTCTGCTTCTTTCTCCATAATTTTTAACAATTACAGATTTTTTTTAACCCTTTATATTCTTCTTCCTTTCTCATCTTCATCCCATATTTTTTGCTATAATTCTGTTTCTTTATTTCTAATTATTGATTTATTTTCCCCTTTCCCAAATGGAATCTGGTCTATGTTTTGCTTTCCTAAAGCCTTTTTAGCTATCTTGTCTGCTATTTCATTTCCTCTCATCTATTCGTGTGCTGGAACCCAACAGATCTGATCTATTCTATACCTAAGTAACCTAAACAAACTCTGAGGAATTTCTAATACAAGGTCTTTCCTATTATTTCCTCCTAAATTAATACTTTCTATTGCAGTTTTAGAATCTGTGCAAATCACCACCCTGTCTGGTCTAATCTCCTCCACCCACTGTAAACTAATAATAATTGCTACCATTTCTGCTGTGTATAGAGATAAAAGGTCTGTTAATCTTTTACATATACATATATCATACTCTGGCATGAATATCCCTATTCCCACATTTCCCTTTGAATTTTTTTAACCATATGTGTATATTTTTAAATAACTATAATACAATTGTCTAACATATAATTTAGTTTTACCCCAACTTCATCATGTTTCCATTCTCTTTTCATTTCATGTATGTTGGAGCTATTTTTCTTTATTCCTTTGTCCATTTGAGCTTTGTTATTTTATTCTTAAATTTATATATTTATTTTTTGTATTATTTAAAGAGTTTATTTATAGGTTAATTGTTGAATTTGTGTATTCACTTTTTGTTGTTTTATAATTTTTCTTTCTTTTTTATGTAAAACAGGAAGAAATGTGGGCGGTCCACCTTTTATAAATGTAGGAGCCTGGTAAGGACCAGCAGGCATTTGGGTTAGGGGCCTATGAGTTTTTACCAGTGCAAGAGAGGTGACAGAGCAAGGGAATTTTTGAACTCTGTGATGTTGCTAAAATATAGGAAATAAATCAACTGAACATCTACAAGTTTGGACTTCTTCTTTTGCCTGCATCAAGAAAACGTGACCCCAGTGCCTAAGTAGTGGAATATTGGAACTTTATTGGATGTTTGGTTTGACAAACAATCGCCATTACAATGTATTTTCATGTCAACTTTAGTTTCTGGAGATCCACCAACCTGAACGTAACCAAGGTTTCCTCTTTATTAGTTTACCAAGTACACATATAGCGATAAAAAGTTTATTATACAAACTTAAAGGCCCAATACAAGAGCATAAGGATAAATTACATCAAGATAACACAAATTAAAACAAGATACAAAAAAGAAAAGGAGCAAAAATCCATATGCCCGGGTTCATATTCTTGTGATATTTTTCAGTCAATAAAAGGGAATTGAAGGCATCCTTATTATACATTTTACTAAGAGCACTGTGGAATAACAACAAGCTATAGAGAAATTCATGTCACTTAGGTTGGTTTTTAAGGTATTTACTTTTCTGGATGAAGAATGTCCCCAGAATTAGGATAGTTTTTATAAGGAAACTTATTCTTTTCCATAATCAGACCATAGATGATGTATATGTCAGAGAACATTTTAAGTGATTAAATTTTAGAGAACAGCCTCTCAGAAATGTCCACACAGTCTGACTCTAGTGTTTAAAGAGCAGGGGGCTTGACCAAGTGTCACTTTTTGACGGATCAGGAGTGAGAATTTATTGAAATATGTCCAGAGTGCCTTAATGTACATGCAGTGGAAGAACACAGCCTAAACTGTCAGGCCTTTCTCAAACACATATCCAGCACCTTTAAAATATATATATATATATATATATATATATATATATATATATATATATATA